TATGTATATATGCACCCACGTATGTTGTCAGTAATACTTTAAAAGGGTTTTAACATACACATGCACATGTAGAAATCATACCTGCGGGAACAACCTCGAAAGTGACACGATACACTTTTTAGATCCCCGGAAAACACACAGTGACCTAAGAATAAGCCCAGAATCCCAAACATGATTACTTACGAATTACGAAAGCACGACCACTCCTTCTTGGCTCGGCTGGTTCGCCCGGCTTTAACCGGAGTGCCGAGGACGGCGGGGTTCTTCGCTGCCAATGCTGCCGAGGTGTCCGGGGTCACCAGCGTCTGTTCAGGGATTTCAGGAGCAGGGAATTTTTGGGAGTGGTGTTATAAATAGCTAGTCTAGTTTCCGGCAAATATTCTACTGTGATCTACTACATAGCACCTGAACCACACGAGCTGGAAGACTTGTGTCGTCAAAGGAGGCAGCATGCGCTAGAGTAGACCAAGTACGTACGGGTGCCACGTGGTGTTCTGGCTGCGCCTGCTGCGCTGTGCTGTCAACGGTCTTTCCCGCTTGTGCTGCTGCCTCCTCCTGCGCCTGCTCCACCTCCAAAGTCTTGTCGACTCGAGCTTTTACTGCTTCTTCTGCTTTCTTGCTTGCGTCCAAAAACACCTGCCGTGCTTGCTCTGCCTCCCGAGCCAGGCGCTCGGCAGTCTCCCGGTACTGGTCTGCTTGGAGTGTTGCTGCCGTTGCTTGCGCCCGTAACTGCTGTTCGGCTTCTCGGTCCAACTCGATTTGTACCTCTCTGGCACCTCGATTGGCCGCGTCTGCGGGTGCCTGCTGAAGCATTTGCTGTGATTGCAGAAGCAAAGCTAGCTGTGCTGCTGGGTCGGGTTCGGCTTGGGCTTTCTGCTGTTGCTCCAGTGCTGCCTTTTCGGCTTCGGCTTTCTGCTGCTGCTCCAGTGCTGCTCGGTCGGCTTCGGCTTTCTGTGCTCGCTCCAGTGCTGCCTTTTCGGCTTCGGCTTTCTGCTGTTGCTCCCGTGCTGCTCGGTCCGCTTCGGCTTTCTGTGCTGCCTCCAGTGCTGC